TGTATGTATGCCTGTCTGTCAGTGAGTGTGTGTCTGTGTGTCTGTCAGTGATTGACTGTGTGTGTCTGAGTAAGTGAGTGAGTGTATGTCTGTCAGTGAGTGTGTTTCTGTCAGTGAGTGAGTGTATGTCTGTCAGTTAGTATCTGTGTGTGTGTGTCAGTGTGTGTGTGTGTGTGTCTGTCTGTCAGTGAGTGTGTGTGTGTGTGTGTGTGTGCGTGTGTGTGTCTGTCAGTGAGTGTAAGTCTGTCAGTGAGTGTGTGTCTTTAAATGGAACAGGAAAATAAAATGCTGTAAGAGAAACAGTAATGAATATTTTGGTTCAAATAAGGAATTTAATAGTTGTAGATGGGAGAACCACCAGAAAAACAGCCCACACTACACGTTTATATATATTTATCTGTCTCTCAGCAGACATTGTCCACATAAAAATGAACTAATGGCAGACACCACATTGCTATAAAATGCTGACTTCAGAGAAAAATAAAAGTTTAATTGGGCAAGTTTCACAACTTTTAAACTTCCAAAACTGAGCTTTCACAGGTAATAAGAATAAAATGGAAGTATTATCATTGCCTGTTTAAGAAACTCACGCTGGAAGTGCTTTCATTCCAGCAAAACGTCTCCAATTATACCCTATTCACTGCTACAGTCTTTCTCGTCACTGATCAGTCTCTTTTTACACATCATTTTATTTGTTTGATTCAATTATTTATGTCCCCAAATAAAAGCTGTTCGATACTGGCTATTAGATCTTCTTCTGAAGTTTGGAAAAAGTGTTTAACGTAAAGGTAGACATTACATAATTCCTACTTTGTTTTCAATTATTCATAGTATTTTTGCATAAAATATTTACAGACCTTTTCAAAGCTTTTATTTTATTTTTATTTTTTGGCCAGATTCTGTCAAATCAAATGTTTGTTGAAGGCTTCTTTATTCTCAATTCTCCTGCATGAACTGAGACATGTTGACAGGCAAAATATAGTCTTAATTGGCACCATATAATTATTTATTTTACTGTTTTGGCTTATAGGTAATTTGGTCCCAAAATGTCACTCTTGCTCTCAGTGATGCATAGTGGGAATTGCACTGAAAAACAACAGAGGGCCAAGTATTGATGCCCCAGGTCACAAAATATTGTCTCTTTGCATTATAGACTTTTCAATAGATTGGTGGTCTGTCCACAAGCAGACACTATGTTCACAATCAGTACACCATTAAGGCAATGGGGTACAGGGAATCCATCCTATGGGTAATGGGGTACAGGGAATCCATCCTATGGGTAATGGGGCACAGGGAATCCATCCTATGGGTAATGGGGCACAGGGAATCCATCCTATGGGTAATGGGGCACAGGGAATCCATCCTATGGGCAATGGGGTACAGGGAATCCATCCTATGGGTAATGGGGTACAGGGAATACATCCTATGGTTAATGTGAGACAGGGAATCCATCCTATGGGTAATGGGGCACAGGGAATCCATCCTATGGGTAATGGGGCACAGGGAATCCATCCTATGGGTAATGGGACACAGGGAATCCATCCTATGGGTAATGGGGCACAGGGAATCCATCCTATGGGTAATGGGGCACAGGGAATCCGTCCTATGGGTAATGGGACACAGGGAATCCATCCTATGGTTAATGTGACACAGGGAATCCATCCTATGGGTAATGGGGCACAGGGAATCCATACTATGGGTAATGGGACACAGGGAATAATCCATCCTATGGTAATGGGGCACTGGGAATCCATCCTATGGGTAATGGGACACAGGGAATCCATCCTATGGGTAATGGGACACAGGGAATCCATCCTATGGGTAATGGGACACAGGGAATCCATCCTATGGGTAATGGGACACAGGGAATCCATCCTATGGGTAATGGGACACAGGGAATCCATCCTATGGGTAATGGGACACAGGGAATCCATCCTATGGGTAATGGGGCACAGGGAATCCATCCTATGGGTAATGGGGCACAGGGAATCCATCCGATGGGTAATGGAATACACGGAATCCATCCTATGGGTAATGGGGTACAGGGAATACATCCTATGGGTAATGGGGTACAGGGAATACATCCTATGGGTAATGTGACACAGGGAATCCATCCTATGGGTAATGGGGCACAGAGAATCCATCCTATGGGTAATGGGACACAGTGAATCCATCCTATGGTAAATGGGGCACAGGGAATCCTTCCTATGGGTAATGGGGCACAGGGAATCCATCCTATGGGTAATGGGACACAGGGAATCCATCCTATGGGTAATGGGGCACAGGGAATCCATCCTATGGGTAATGGGGCACAGGGAATCCAACCTATGGGTAATGGGGCACAGGGAATCCAACCTATGGGTAATGGGGCACAGGGAATCCATCCGATGGGTAATGGGACACAGGGAATCCATCCTATGGGTAATGGGGTACAGGGAATTCATCCTATGGGTAATGGGGTACAGGGAATTCATCCTATGGGTAATGGGACACAGGGAATCCATCCTATGGGTAATGGGGCACAGGGAATCCATCCTATGGGTAATGGGGCACAGGGAATCCATCCTATGGGTAATGGGGCACAGGGAATCCGTCCTATGGGTAATGGGGCACAGGGAATCCGTCCTATGGGTAATGTGGCACAGGGAATCCATCCTATGGTAATGGGGCACAGGGAATCCGTCCTATGGGTAATGGGGCACAGGGAATCCGTCCTATGGGTAATGGGGAACAGGGAATCCATCCTATGGGTAATGTGGCACAGGGAATCCGTCCTATGGGTAATGGGGCACAGGGAATCCATCCTATGGGTAATGGGGTACAAGGAATCCATCGTATGGGTAATGGGGTACAAGGAATCCATCCTATGGGTAATGTGGCACAGGGAATCTGTCCTATGGGTAATGGGGCACAGGAAATCCATCCTATGGTAATGGGGCACAGGGAATCCATCCGATGGGTAATGGGGCACAGGGAATCCATCCTATGGGTAATGGGGCACAGGGAATCCATCCTATGGGTAATGGGGCACAGAGAATCCATCCTATGGGTAATGGCACACAGGGAATCCATCCAATGGGTAGTGGGGCACAAATAATCCATCCTATGGGTAATGGGGCACAGGGAATCCATCCTATGGGTAATGGGGCACAGGGAATCCATCCTATGGGTTATGGGGCACAGGGAATCCATCCTATCGGTAATGGGGCACAGGAAATCCATCCTATGGGTAATGGGGCACAGGGAATCCATCCTATCGGTAATGGGGCACACGGAATCCATCCTATGGGTAATGAGGTACAGGGAATCCATCCTATCGGTAATGGGGCACAGGGAATCCATCCTATGGGTAATGGGGCACAGGGAGTTCATCATATTAGTAATGGGGTACAGTGAATCCATTCTATGGGTAATGAGGCACATGGAATACATAGTAGGGGTAATGGGGCACAGGGAATCATTTCACTCAGTAATGAGGCACAGGGAATTTACCCTATTGGTAATGAGGACTAAAAGGTCTGTGCTTCTAGCGTTTGAGCCTAAGATAGCACACTTATATGTTCAATGGACCTAGAGTACAATTGAGCTCTTGCAGAGGGTAATCAGGACACAGATCAGATGCAGATTAGTAAACACAGTGCCAGACCTACCTTTAGCAATTTAGAATTTATGGACGGTATTAACCATGATGCTCAGCCACGCACCATGGAGTATAGCACATAGCATTTGAGGGTATTCAGGCATCTTGGGCCTATTGCAATGCATAGGCCTAGAGCTCCGATAGCCCCTACATTAATCTAGACCTGATTTTTACCACTCCGGCTATTTTGTGCTACATTTTGCACTCAAGTTGTCAATGCATCACAATTAATAAATAACATGGCCTATTAGATAGCTTTTGATGACTGTATTTTTTAACCTGTTACAATTATCTGGACCTTAAAGGGTTAGCATCATGACAACTACAGCATGCTGGTTATGTTGCCAGGAGTACCCTTGTCCAGTTCCCCAACAATGGGGCAAACACCCCTATCATGGGTCCCCGCGGGGCTCTCTGGCTCCCTCGTGGTATGTCGATGTGCTTCTGAGTTACACCTCCAGCATCAGAGGGGTTAAAATATAAGTGCAGGCACCATGGCCACTTCCAGTCACTGAAGTTGTCATGGTGATTGGAGTAACATTTTAAGAAAAAAAGTGGTGCCGCTTTTTGTTATCTCCATAGGGGTTCATGAATCAGATATATCCACGTTGTTATTTAGAGCCTCTATCTTCAATATAGAGAGGTGCCTAGGGATTCAGGCAGAATTTTGGATTTAAAGAGCAGGGAGCTCATATGGGACACCCACCCTGTTGGAGAACTCTGTGGGAATAGAACATGACCTTAATACACATGATCATTCTAACCTAACCGAGGGTCCAAGTGTTTTCCCCAGGGATAGACACTAGCCGATGGGAACCAGCTCTTGTTGCGGCTTTTAACCTTCCCACAGCAAAAGCACAGAAAAGTAAAACGGAGATAGTCTCATCTTCTGACAAGATTTGGGAGACTGGGGAAAGCTTCTTAAAAACATATCAAAATACACGGATAAACTATCCACTAAATGCTCATTTCAATTGTAATAGTTACATGTTTCTTAAAGGGCCAGTTCTGCAATACTTTTTCCCGTAGATTTTATTTAAGTATAATATATACTAACAGGTGTGGCGAATGTCAGCAATCCATCATGCCCCAGACATCGATTTGGAAAGCTGTGTATGAAAATATGCATGTTGCATGATTTTTCCCATAATGCCATGCAGTCCTTACAGACATCAGAGACGGCCAACAATATTATATTAAAGGATGCAGCGTTGCTCTGTGATACTTTGATGAATGCTGATGCCAAAGTGCCAAAGTGATGCCCTTTTGGTACTGTTGGCCAAATTGCAGGAGGGATGGGGGCATAATTTTAAAGCGGCAGGCTAAGCGTTATTGTCTTTAAGGCTGACAAATGTTATCAGGGCTTCCCTGGCACCATGAAAGTGCCATTGAGCTGCAGTGGTTATGGTGCCTAAAATGCCTAGGATTACTGAAAGCACATGAAATTGACAGAGTGAGCCAATATAATCATCAGTTTTTTTCAAAGCACTTATAACCTTTTCTCTGGCCCTGTAAAATGCATTTGTAAAGAGGCATTCCTTATTATCACTGTTGGATCGTTTCTTGCGTACTAATCTCAGACTAGTAGCTTTATTTCCTATTAAAGGACCACTATAGTGCCAGGAAAACATACTCGTTTTCCTGGCACTATAGTGCCCTGAGGGTGCCCCCACCCTCAGGGTCCCCCTCCCGCCCGGCTCTGGAAGGGGGAAAGGGGTAAAAACTTACCTTTTTCCAGCGCTGGGCGGAGAGCTCTCCTCCTTCTCTCTCCTCCGTTCCTCCATCCTGGGCTGAATGCGCGCGCGCAAGCCCGTCGCATAGGAAAGCATTTACAATGCTTTCCTATGGACGCTTTCGTGCTCTCACTGTGATTTTCACAGTGAGAAGCACGCAAGCGCCTCTAGTGGCTGTCAATGAGACAGCCACTAGAGGATTAGGGGGAAGGCTTAACCCATTCATAAACATAGCAGTTTCTCTGAAACTGCTATGCTTATAAAAAAATGGGTTAACCCTAGCTGGACCAGGCACCCAGACCACTTCATTAAGCTGAAGTGGTCTGGGTGCCTAGAGTGGTCCTTTAAGGCCAAATCAACCATTTATGTTTCCAAGGTCAATGAAATTAGCACCATCAAGTTGGGCAATTACAAGATCTGTGACAGGGGTAGGCAGCCTTCGGTAGTCCAGATATTGTGGACTACTTATCCCTTAATGCTCTTACAGCCATAATACTGGCAAAGCATCAGGGGAGGTGTAGTCCACAACAGCTGGACTGCCAAAGGCTGCCTACCTCTGATCATACTTGAAAACTGGCAAAAGCTAATTTTACTTTTCTGGGATACAGATTGTGATATTATTATTGTTATACTGGAATAGGTTCACTGCGGGCCTATCAGGATGATAGGGGTTGTAGTTAATTATAAACCAGTGTTGTCTTTCTACATCTAATAATTTGTAGCTAAACTTTGTTTCATTGAGAACCAATACAATAATCAGTAAACCAATACAATGATCAGTAAGCCAATACAACAATCAGTAAACCAATACCATAATCAGTAAACCAATACAACAATCAGTAAACCAATACAATAATCAGTAAACCAATACAACAATCAGTAAACCAATACAATGATCAGTAAACCAATACAATAATCAGTAAACCAATACCATAATCAATAAGCCAATACAACAATCAGTAAACCAATACAATAATCAGTAAACCAATACAATAATCAATCAGTAAGCCAATACAACGATCAGTAAACCAATACAATAATCAGTAAACCAATACAATGATTAGTAAACCAATACAATAATCAATCAGTAAACCAATACAACAATCAGTAAACCAATACAATAATCAGTAAACCAATACAATGATCAGTAAGCAATACAATAATCAGTAAACCATAAAAAACAATCAGTAAACCAATACCATAATCAATAAGCCAATACAATAATCAATAAGCCAATACAACAATCAGTAAACCAATACAATAATCAGTAAACCAATACAATAATCAATCAGCAAGCCAATACAACGATCAGTAAACCAATACAATAATCAATCAGTAAACCAATACAATAATCAGTAAACCAATACAATGATTAGTAAACCAATACAATAATCAATCAGTAAGCCAATACAACAATCAGTAAACCAATACAATAATCAGTAAACCAATACAATAATCAATCAGTAAACCAATACAATGATTAGTAAGCCAATACAATAATCAGTAAGCCAATACAACGATCAGTAAGCCAATACAATAATCAGTAAACCAATACAACGTTCAGTAAACCAATACAATGATCAATAAGCCAATACAACAATCAGTAAACCAATACAATAATCAATCAGTAAACCAATACAATGATTAGTAAGCCAATACAATAATCAGTAAACCAATACAACGATCAGTAAACCAATACAATGATCAGTAAGCCAATACAACAATCAGTAAACCAATACAACAATCAGTAAACCAATACAATAATCAATCAGTAAACCAATACAATGATTAGTAAGCCAATACAATAATCAGTAAACCAATACAATGATCAGTAAACCAACACAACAATCAGTAAACCAATACAATGATTAGTAAGCCAATACAATAATCAGTAAACCAATACAATGATCAGTAAACCAATACAATAATCAATCAGTAAACCAATACCATAATCAGTAAACCAATACAAAAATCAGTAAACCAATACATTAATCAATCAGTAAACCAATACCATAATCAGTAAACCAATACAAAAATCAGTAAACCAATACAATAATCAATCAGTAAACCAATACCATAATCAGTAAACCAATACCATAATCAGTAAACCAATACAACAATCAATCAGTAAGCCAATACAATAATCAGTAAACCAATACAATGATCAGTAAGCCAATACAACAATCAGTAAACCAATACAATAATCAGTAAACCAATACAATGATCAGTAAGCCAATACAACAATCAGTAAACCAATACAATGATCAGTAAGCCAATACAATGATCAGTAAACCAATACAACGATCAGTAAACCAATACAATAATCAGTAAGCCAATACAATAATCAGTAAACCAATACAATGATCAGTAAGCCAATACAACAATCAGTAAACCAATACAATGATCAGTAAGCCAATACAATGATCAGTAAACCAATACAACAATCAGTAAACCAATACAATGATCAGTAAACCAATACAACAATCAGTAAACCAATACAATAATCAGTAAACCAATACAACGATCAGTAAACCAATACAACGATCAGTAAACCAATACAATAATCAGTAAGCCAATACAATAATCAGTAAACCAATACAATGATCAGTAAGCCAATACAACAATCAGTAAACCAATACAATGATCAGTAAACCAATACAACAATCAGTAAACCAATACAAGAATCAGTAAACCAATACAACGATCAGTAAACCAATACAATAATCAGTAAACCAATACAATGATCAGTAAACCAATACAATAATCAGTAAACCAATACAATGATCAGTAAACCAATACAATAATCAGTAAACCAATACAATAATCAATCAGTAAGCCAATACAATAATCAGTAAGCCAATACAACAATCAGTAAGCCAATACAACAATCAGTAAACCAATACAATAATCAGTAAACCAATACAATAATCAATCAGTAAACCAATACAATGATCAATCAGTAAGCCAATACAACAATCAGTAAACCAATACAATAATCAGTAAACCAATACAATAATCAATCAGTAAGCCAATACAATAATCAATCAGTAAGCCAATACAACAATCAGTAAACCAATACAATAATCAGTAAACCAATACAATGATCAGTAAACCAATACAATGATCAGTAAGCCAATACAACAATCAGTAAACCAATACAACGATCAGTAAACCAATAAAATAATCAGTAAGCCAATACAATGATCAGTAAACCAATACAATGATCAGTAAGCCAATACAATAATCAGTAAACCAATACAATAATCAGTAAACCAATACAATGATCAGTAAGCCAATACAACAATCAGTAAACCAATACAACGATCAGTAAACCAATACAATAATCAGTAAGCCAATACAACAATCAGTAAACCAATACAATGATCAGTAAGCCAATACAATGATCAGTAAACCAATACAACAATCAGTAAACCAATACAATGATCAGTAAACCAATACAATAATCAGTAAACCAATACAATAATCAGTAAACCAATACAACAATCAGTAAACCAATACAATAATCAGTAAACCAATACAATAATCAGTAAACCAATACAATGATCAGTAAACCAATACAATAATCAGTAAACCAATACAACAATCAGTAAACCAATACAATAATCAATCAGTAAGCCAATACAATAATCAGTAAGCCAATACAACAATCAGTAAACCAATACAATAATCAGTAAACCAATACAATAATCAATCAGTAAACCAATACAATGATCAATCAGTAAGCCAATACAACAATCAGTAAACCAATACAATAATCAGTAAACCAATACAATGATCAGTAAACCAATACAACGATCAGTAAACCAATGCAACAATCAGTAAACCAATACCATAATCAATAAGCCAATACAATAATCAGTAAACCAATACAATAATCAATCAGTAAACCAATACAATAATCAGTAAGCCAATACAATAATCAGTAAGCCAATACAATGATCAGTAAACCAATACCATAATCAGTAAACCAATACAACAATCAGTAAACCAATACAATAATCAGTAAACCAATACAATAATCAGTAAACCAATACAATGATTAGTAAGCCAATACAACAATCAGTAAACCAATACAATGATCAGTAAACCAATACAATAATCAGTAAGCCAATACAATAATCAGTAAGCCAATACAATGATCAGTAAGCCAATACAACAATCAGTAAACCAATACAACAATCAGTAAACCAATACAATGATTAGTAAACCAATACAACAATCAGTAAACCAATACCATAATCAGTAAACCAATACAATAATCAGTAAGCCAATACAATAATCAGTAAACCAATACCATAATCAGTAAACCAATACAATAATCAGTAAGCCAATACAATGATCAGTAAAGCAATACCATAATCAGTAAACCAATACAATAATCAGTAAGCCAATACAATAATCAGTAAGCCAATACAATAATCAGTAAACCAATACCATAATCAGTAAACCAATACAATAATCAGTAAGCCAATACAATGATCAGTAAAGCAATACATAATCAGTAAACCAATACCAGTAAGCCAATACAGTAAGCCAATACAATTTAAACCAATACAAATCAGTAAACCAATACAATAATCAGTAAGCCAATACAATGATCAGTAAAGCAATACAATAATTTATAGACCTGCCATATTTGTCATTCCAGAGGAAATTGTGCTTGGATTAAAAGCTACTGTTTAGGAAAAGTTAAGTGGTGGGTCTCTCCTGACAATTCCCTGTCAGCAATCACTATTCATTAATATGATAGCTTAATTAAAAGCTTAATCATCCTGCCTCTCACTGTACAGGCTGCAGTCGCACACCTATAGCACTCATAATCAATGAGCCATTCTGGAATCAGCA